TGGTTGAAATCATGGAGAGACCACCCCAACCTACGACGTGATATTACGGCGGCGTGGTCTCTCACATATATATATATATATACACGAAGATGCAGGCCCTACCTGTGGCGGACCAAACACGAAACGTCCGAGGCCTCAATGCAGTAGTCATTCTCACGCTATTACGGGCTGGATGGGGCCCTCACCAACCCAACCAATGGAGGTACGCGACTACCGATGGAGGATGGGAACAGTGGGAGTTTCCAGACCACAGCTACACGGGCGACCTGCATCGCAATGTGCACGATCACCTCCTACGTGACCTTGAGGCATCTGCGGCTCGGACCAGATGGATCAAGGCATCTTACCACTGCGCAGTAGGTGGGCTCGAGCGTGGAGTGGACATGGACTCGTACCAACGCCTCCTACGCCAGTTGGAGCACTCTCCGCATGGCCACCAGCTGGCAGAGACGATGCTAGCGGTGGCGGCAGGAGGATGCTGGCCCAAGGCCTGCCGCAAGCAGCAGCTCGCCCGCTACCAGGGCGACGACCTCTGTGACAGATGCGGACAGGCTCCTGAGACATTACGGCATCGGTTCTGGGAATGCGAGAAGAACCGAGGCTCACCTGCTTATGAGGCCAGCGCCCAACTCACCCCCGCCGCCCTCGCTCAATGCGATAGTGATGAAGGTTTCTGGCTCAGAGGCCTCCTGCCGCTCCCGTGGACTTGGGTCTCCGAACCTCCGCAAGATGACCACTGGAGCCTCGACGGCCTCGAAGGGGTCTCTGCGGGCTGACTTGGAGAGGGAACCCAATGTGAGCCCCGAATCCTCTCTGGTGGTGCGCCGGGAGGGCCTGAGTCTAAATGGCCCAGGCTCCGACGTGTAGGTATTGATATCGCGTGCTTTCACTCTCTAGAGCCCCTGTCTTTGAAGGCGTCTGTCTTGGGACCCCTCAGTGGCAGCCGTCAAGTAGTAGCTAGGGGTGAAATCCGTTTGGCTTTAGAGTGCAGTACTGGATGTATGGTGTATTTTACCGACTATGAACCGCTCGCTGCTGGCTGGCACTCACGTACGTTTGACCAGCCCAGTGGGCCCGATGCAGATCTGTGAGCTAAAATTCGCGATGTTTTAATCGATCGGCCACCGTCTCATTTCAGTTATCTTTACGCACAACCACCAGTCTATGTTTGATATTGTGGCGGGGAAGGCCCGCAGTGCTCTCGTTATTGTCAACACTGTTGCTGATCACTTAGCTGACGCAGTCGCCCAGAATGCACGCGTCCCCGCCACTGAAAGTCACGACATCAATATCCATGAGCATAGGGCCATGTTGGTCCGAATGAGGCTCTTGCGGGCCACCCCTGATTCCTTTAAAGCCGAGGAAGATAAAGCCGCCGCGGCCAGGGACTGGAAAAGTGAGGGGGTACCCCTCCTCCCCAAACCCCGCCCCGCCCCGCTGCGGCTGCTCTCTCCTCCCTGCTCTCGGCTCATATGCTCTCGGAGTGTCAGCGTCGATGCCTCAGATGCTGTGGGTCAGCTTCCGCCTCCACAGCTGAGGCTTGGACTCCTGGACAGCCACCAGGTGCCGTGGTCTTGTGAATGTTAATGGCACTGTGTTCTCCCCCCCTGTCGGGGCTCGCATGTGTGTTGCTGGGGGGGGGCCTGCATCCAGCCCACCTCCTCAACTTCCACTGCGTACTCCAATTAAGGTTTTGTAGTTCGTGTGGGGGGCCATAGCTGCCAAACAGCCGTGCTCCTTGGGTAAGCCTTGTAATACCCTCCCCACACGCACAGCGTATTGAAGCTGGAGTTTCCCCTAAGACCCTTGGCAAGGCCGACGCAAGGCGGCAGCAGGGGGAGCAGCTTCAAGTGATACCTAACTTGCATTCGCAATGGGGATCTCAATCTCAATCTCCTCCTCCTCCTCCTCCTCCTCCTCCTCCTCCTCCTCCTTCTCATCCTCCTCCTCCTCTTCCCTCGTTCCCCATCTTCAGGCGGGCATTCAGAAGCCGACGGCGACGGTGATCGGTCGTTAACGTCCCAGAAATGGCGTTATGGTACGATGTCAGAATGTCAGGGAGCAACAGTCATGTTGATTCGCGGTGCTGAAGTCTCATGTGTTCTGGCACGATTCAGGATCGTCAAGACGCAACAGTAGAGGTTATTCGCGGCGTCGATGTCTCAGGAATGGCGTTCTGGCCCAATTCCAAGATGTTCAAACGGTTGTCTTCCGACGATGCATTTCCCTCAGTGAGCCCTCTATGGGGCCGACGGAGAGGGAGCTTGGAGGGAGGGCGCATTGCAACATCATTGATGCATCCTGGGTTTACACTGGTCATCCTGCTCCTCCGCCTCTTCCTCATAGTCCACGCCGCCCGCGGAAATGGCGGTCCCAGCGGCTCTAGAGGTGCCTCCAGCTGCCTGGCCGTCCCTGGGTTCCGCCGCAGTCCCAGGTGTTCGTCCCTCTCCTCCTCCCCCACCTTCCACTCCTCCTCCTCCTCCTCCTCCTCCTCCTCCTCCTCCTCCTCCTCCTCCTCGCCCTCCTTCTCTTCCTCCTCCTCTTCCTCCTCCTTCCCCTCCTCCATTCCCTCCTTATAGATAACCCCTCCCTGTCGCACTCAGAGGCCAGTTTTTAGGGCGGGCCGGGCGTTTCGCCTTAGACTTCCTCACCATGTATGACTCTGAAGCTTGAAAAGTGGCAACAGTTTCACGGATTGAGGGCGGATGGTTTTCAAAATGTGGCTCTCGTCCGTTCGTTTGTTAATTGCAAGAGCTTCACGGATTGAGGGCGGGTGGTTTTCCATATGTGGCTATCGTCTTCGCGCCGCGCACGTTCGTTTTTCAAAATTGCAAGACTTTCACGGGTTGAGGGCAGGTGGTTTTCAACATGTGGCTCTCGCCTTAGCGCCGCGCACATTCGTGTTAAAAATTCGCAAGAGGAGGGCGGGTCGTTTTCAAAATGTGGCTCTCGCCTCAGCGCCGCGCACATTCGTTTAAACCAACTGCAAGACGTTCAAAGGATTGAGGGCGGGTGGTTTTCAAAATGTGGCTCTCGCCTTAGCACCGCGCGCATTCGTTTCGAAAATTTGCAAGACTTTCACGGATTGAGGGCGGGTGGCTTTCGATATGTGGCTCTCGCCTTAGCGCCGCGCACATTCGTTTTAAGCATTTGCTCTAGATTCACGGGTTCCCATGATCAACGTATCAGAAATGGTGTTTAGGAGGGGTTCAGGATTATGCGGGCGCAACAGTTATGTTGATTCGCTGTGTTGACGTCCCAAAAACGGCGTTCTGGCACGGTTCTGGATCGTCAAGACGCAGCAGTCAAGTTGATACGTGGCGTTGAAATTCCGAAAACAATGTTTTGGCACACTTCAGGATCTACGAACTGTTGTCTTCCAACGAGGCAGGTCCCTCAATGGAAATGAACCGTTGTAAGGGCCTATGAAGAGGCAGCTTGTAGGGAGGGACTTCAACATCGTTGATGACTCTTGGGTCTCCACTGGTTCTCCTCCTCCTCCGCCTCCTCCTCCTCCGCCTCCTCCTCGTCCGCCTGCGCCTCCTCCTCCTCCTACTCCTCCTCCTCCTCCTCCTCCTCCTCCTCCTCCTCCTCCTCCTCCTCTTCCTCCTCCTCGACCTCCACCTCCACCTACACCTCCACCTCCTCCTCGTCCTCCTCCTTCTCCTCTCCTCATCCGTCTCCTCCTCCTCCTCCTCCGCCTCCTCCTCCTCTGTCTCCTCTTCCTCCTCTTCCTCCTCCTCCTCCTCCTCCTCCTCCCTCCTCCTCCTCCTCCTCCTCCTCCCTCCTCTTACTCCTCCCCCTCCTCCTCCTGTTCCTCCTCCTCCTCCTTCTCCTCCTCCTCCTCTTCCTCCTCCTCCTTCTCTCTCTCCCCCCCCCCCCCCCTCCTCCTCCACTTCCTCCTCATCCTCCCCGTCCTCCTCCTCCACTTCCTCTTCCTCCTCCTCCTCATTCTCTTCCTCCTCCTTCTCCTCCTCCTCCTCCTCCTCATGTTCCTCCTCCTTTGTGTCCTTCCTCTTCCTCTACTCCTTAGCATTATTTAATCTTAGTATAAACAAGACAAGTCGTATCATTATTCGTTTTATCCTCATCATTCGTGTTCGAATTAGATTCGTCTGATTATTAGTTGTAGTATGAATATTAGGTTTATTCGTACTAGTAGTCTTCCTCTTCTGATCAGTAGTATCATTAAGATTCGTACTACTAATAATATCCGCCCCAATCGAACAGTATCACTATTCAAGGCATTCGTGCTATTATGTGCGTTGCTCTTATGCTTTTTCTTTGTATTAATATCATTATCGTTGTTCATAATCATTATCCGCCTCCTCTTCCTCCTCCCCCTCCTCGTCCTCCTCCTCCTCCTCGTCTTCCCCCTTCTCCTCCTCCTCCGCATCCTCCTCCTCCTCCTCCTTCTCTTCCCTTCACCGCCCGCCCCATGCCCCGAGTCTGTGGCAGGAGCGTCAGCTCGTCGTTGTCGTTGTTGTCGTTTTCGTCGTCGTGGTTGTCGTCGTCGTCGTCGTCGTCGTCGTCGTCGTCGTCGTCGTCGTCGTCCTTCTGGGTCGGCGTCACCGGCCGTAAGGCCTTCACACTACGAATTATGCACACTCTCGCACCGTGCGCTGTTTGGTGTCGTGTTCCTGTGCACTGTAGCCCCGATGCCACAGAGATACGATAAGCTAGCTGTTTGCGGTTTGTGGGGCGCTGCAGCGCACCAAAACAACGCCGTGTTTGCCCTCCTGAGGCGAAGTCTTCGTTCGAAATTTCAAGGGGGAAGGGGGTACATAGGCAAGACGGATGGCATAGGTGGGGAGGTAGGGGAAGGCGGGGGAGGAGAAGGGGAGGGGAGAGGGGAAGGGGAAGCGGAGAGGGAAGGAAAGAGGGAGAAAGGAGGGGGCAAAAGGATGCGGTCGTCCCGAAAGGCCCGAAAGGAGAGGATTCCAACAACGTCGCGTGCGAGCTTGCCTCACTGGCATTATTTGTGAGGAAGGCGCCCCGTCCTGGCCGATGCCAACGACGCCCACCACGGCGTCGTCGTCGCCAGTCTGCGCCACGGTGCTCCAGAGAAGTTCGCGTGTCTGGCCGCTCTTGGTGATGACAGTGAACTCGAAATTTGTAATCTCCTGGCCCAGCAGTCCCTGCCCTAGCATTGCCCGAACCGAATCCGCCTGTTCTTCTGTCGCCAAGAAATCCGCGAACTTCTCCCCCATCGCCTCGTCCCTGCTGTAGCCAGTCAGCACCTCAGCCTTCCAGGTAGTAATCCTGCTCCTATTCCTCCTCCTCCTCCTCCTCCTCCTCCTCCTCCTCCTCCTCCTCCTCTTCTTCCTCCGCGAATTCCCTGGGAGAAGGGCGGGGGTGACAGGGAGGGGAGGGGGACGGGGTGGAGGCGATGGGGGGGGCGAAGGGGGAGCGGGAGCGAAACGGAGATTGTGAGCGTTTTCTTATTCGGCGTTTCGACATCGAGCGGAAAAGGAGGGGGAGGGGTGGGGGTCTGGGTGCGGCTGTTTGCAGAAGTGCGTCCTGTGGTGGAGAAGCTCCCCACCTTCCCGAAACAGGCGCCAACAGCAGCCAAGATCTGCTCCGACGGGGGGGGGGAGGGAGGGGGCCAGGGCCCGCGCCGATCGGCATAATAAAAAAAACGACCACGTGGCACTCCCGTGTCTGGGCCTTCTTGTTGAACTCGACGATTCCTCCTCTTCCTCCTCCTCCTCCTCCTCCTCCTCCTCCTCCTCCTCCTCTTCTTCCTCCGCGAATTCCCCGTGAAAAGGACAGGGTGACAAGGAGGGGGGGGGGACAAGGGTGGAGACGATGGGGGGGGCGAAGGGGGAGCGGGAGGGCGACGGGGAGCAGGACTCCCGTGTCCGGGCCTTCTTGTTGAACTCGACGATCCTGTTCCCCACGTCGACGGAGATGAGCGGCGCGTTGACAGCGCCTATGAGCTGCGCCAGGTCCTGCGCGGCCAGCTCCGCCTGCGCCAAGCTACGGCCGAGCGCCGTGGTCTCCTGCCCAACGTACAGCGCGCCCTGGAGCTGTCCCTCGGCGTCCACGCGAGGAGATGCCCCCAGCAGCACCTCGAAGCGCTCAAATCTGTGCTGCTGCTGGTTTATAAGTGCACGTTCACATGCAAATCTGTATGTCTATACATGTGTATATATATTTATACACACTAGAACCATCGCGCGCTCCGCGCGCGCTCAAGTTCCAGCTAGGCTTGATGGGCGAATCCATGGAATATCATCCTTGTCGTTTCTTGTATCCAGGGACTCTCTTGGAGGCCCTGCGCAAGCCTCGGAATCGCATAGAAGGGGAACTGCGCAAACGCAGAAATCATTAATTGCCATTAGGTATTCAACCATTTGGGGCCCTCGCAGGCTTCCTGGTTTCTTTTCTGGGGCCTTAACTGTGGTCTGTTGTGCAAGAATAGACAAGGGGGCGAACTTGGAAAAAAAAAAAAACAAAAAAAACGGAATGGTGGGATCTCCTTTTTTTCATATTGTAGTAGTGCCTGGGCTGCGGGCTAGACGCTTTCTGCATGCAGGCCACGGTCTGTTGGGATGCCTCTCGGGGTCTTCGTGCAAAAATAAGCAGGGGGTGAGTTCGCAAAAAAAGGAATTCCAAAATTCCACTGCTTCAACTCATAGGATCATGGGACCTCGATTTCTACAATGGTTTCAGGGGCAACCAAGAGGGCACGAAGACGATCCAAGAGAGTGCCAAGACAGGGTCAGAGAGTTCAACAGCATTCCCGAAACATTTTTGCATGTGACCCCGAAGTCTTGATGGGGCTCGAGGAAGAGGATAGTGAGTAGGAGTCCCAACTTGAAATAAAAAAGAATCTCTGAAATTCCTACTTTTCTTCAAATTCCTCGGTCTTGGAGCGTTGGAAGCGGGAAAACGTGAGAAGGCGAAAAACGTCGACGAAAACCGCTGGAAAGCAACGATTTTACCCTCTGGGGCACTGCGAAGACGAAGCCAGCGAGTATGCCGAAAATGTACGTTTTACAAAGGAAATGGGCCGATGTTTGCCTCTTGAAGGCCATATTCAAGCCATCTCGGGCCCTCTTGGGGCGCTCTTGGGCGTCTTCGGGGCCTCTTCAGGCTTTCTTGACCACCTAGACGGCCCGCGTGGCCTGTCGTGGGGCAATTTGGAAGCGGCCCGGGGCAGTCCCGGGGGGTCTGTGACCCCCCAAAGGTTCGGGGGGGCGGCCATGGGGGATAACGCCACCGATTTTGGCCCCCCCCCGGTCTACTCATATATATATATAATGTATATGTCTATATATATATATATATATATATATATGTGTACATATCTATGCATCTCACACAGCTATACACGTATGCTCACACAGCTATAGCTATCATGTATATACGTGCATATATACATATATATACACACAAGGACAAACGTACACACACACACATGCACACACACGCACATACGCACGCACGCACGCACGCACGCACGCACGCACCCACACACTCACAGAGACAGACAGACAGACACACACACACACACACAGACAGACAGGCAGGCAGACAGACAGACAGACACACAGGCAGACAGACAGACATGCATGCATACATACGTACATACAGACAGACAGACAGACATGCACAGCACACACACACACACACCTGTTGCGGCGTCGCGGCCGCGCGCGCAGTGACGCAGCGGAGCCGACCAATCGGAGGGCGGGAGCGCGCCGGGCCCTCATGCATCTACCAGCCTTCTACACACGAGTTCTCCTGTGTTTCTTCGACACGCCGCTCGCTGCAAGCGACGAAGGGGACGGGTTTACACCGAATCCCACCAGCCCTCTGGGCTTAGATGGTCTAACAGTATTCTTCTCGCCTCTTCCAAAACCCTCTTCCCTTCGAGGAGGGGTACCCTCCCCCCACTCTGGGAGTCGCGAAGTGTCAGGATGTCCTGTTTCGCCCAAGATGGCTCCAAGAGCCGATGCTCCAAGATGGCCCCCGAGATTGCTCAAGTAGCCAATGATGGTTCAAGATGGCTTCCGACATGCCTCCAAGAGGCCCCAAGAGAACTACAAGACGGCTACAAGTGCTATCGGAGCCCTCTCAGGACTTCCACAAGACGCCCAAATCCTTCACAAACCAACAGATCACTGATGTTTTCCTGCTCGCCGTATCGCTTCCGATGCGATTTGGGGGCCTCAACACTGACCCAGGATAGCCCAAGAGAGCTTCAAGAGGGGCCTAAGTATTCAACTGGGCATCGTTTCTGGATGGGCTTGTGGGGATGCGCAAAGTGTCAAGGATTATATTCCGTATGGAAGTGCGCGGAAAATCTGCAGGCATGCGAACCGCGTGTAGGCGCCACCAGAACGAACAAATCAGGAGGTGCAGGGAACGGAAGCGCGAGTAAAGGAGCAGCGCCCACAGCCAGCCTGACCGAGGAGGGAGGAGGAGGAGCGGGGAGCCACCACTGAACAGCGCCAGGCAATCGAGCGGCCGCGGCGCATGCCGAACGAGCAGCTGAGCGAGCCAGAGGCAGGCCAAGCCAGAAGACGAGTGCAGAAACGGCCGAGGCCGACCAGGGTAGGGGCGGCGGAGAAAGCGACAGGGAGGGCAACAGACCAGGAAAGGAGGAAGTGGCTGGATGATGGCCCTGCGACATCAGCCGCAACCAGCCCTGAAGCGGTAGCACAGCACCGACAGGCATCGCCAGGTTGAGGCGAAGGCAGACACACACACACACACACACACACACACACACACACACACACGCACGCACATGTATGTGTTTGCCAGCGTGGACCCCAAAAAGTGAGTTTTCGCACTCTGGTGGTGAAGGCTGTGTGGTGGAAGATATGTAGTGGAGGCCATGTGGTGGAAACTACGTGGTGCAAGCCATGTGGTGAACCATGTGGTAGAAGCTGTGTGGCGAATCCCACGAAAGCGGCAACGGGTGGCAATGGGAGGCAATGGGCGACGTCGGGCGGCAACGGTCCAGAACGTGGCGAATCGTCGACATCCCCACCCAAGCGGCAACGGGCGGCAACGGGCGGCAACGGGCGGCATCGGGCCAGAACGTAGCGAATCCGCGACGCACCCACAAAGCGGCAACAGGCGGCGGCAGGCGGCAACGGGCCAGAACGTGGCGCATCCTCGACGCACCCACGCAGTTCCTTTGGAGGAGAAGCAAAAACTCCGCAGTGCAAGCACTGTTTGGAGACTACGTTTATGCATATATATATATATACATACATAAGTGTGTATACATATATATATATATATATATATATATATATGCACTAGAACCATCGCGTGCGCTTCGCGCGCGCTCAGGTTCTAGCCCAGGCCGAGGGGGCGCTGGACGATCGTGGACAACGCTATCAAGCACAGGCGCGCGACGGCATCTGAGGAGCTTCTGGGGTGTTCCGCGTGCTTCGTCAACTGGCTGTTGGAGGCACCTCTTGGGTGCTTCTTGGGGGGGCGTCTGAGGGTCCCTTGGGGGCATCGGTTCTGCAATCTGAAGCCGTCATTGGCCGTCTTGGCTGCGTGGAGGCCCGACTTGAGGCCACCTGCGGCCAGATTGAGGCAATCCGGAAGCCTCCCGGGGGCCTCCTGGAAGCAGTTTGGACGCATCGAGGGCACTCTTGGACTATCGTAAAGCCTCTTGGACGTCTCCTAGGGGCCTTTTAAGCCCTCGGGAAGCTTTTGGGGTCCTCGTCGGACCGCTTGGGGGCCTCTTGCAGCCTCCTGTGGGCCTTGTGGGGGGACCGCTCTGCTGTTGGGTCGCGTTCCCCTTCTTGGGTCTCTCTTGGGGTTCTTGGGGCCCTCTCGGGCCGTCTTGGGCGCCTCAAGCACCGTCTTGGGGCCCTCGCGGGCCGTCTTGGGGCCCTCTTGGAGGCCTCTTCCTCTATGTGGGAGCGGTAATGGAAGCCTCTTGGGCCGTCTTGGAGCATCGGGATGCCAAAAGGCCGAAAAAGTAAAACCCGTCAAAGCCCAATCGTAAAACAATGAGTTGTGCCTCTTGGGGCCACCTTGGGAGATCTCTTGGAACCTCATCGGCCCTCTTGGGAGCTTCTCGGGGGCCTCTTGGATCCGATTGGGGGCCTCTTGGGACTTCCCGAGAATCTCTCGGGGTAGAAAGCTCGGATTCTCGGTTCGTGTTTCCCTTCTTGGGCCTCTCTTGGGGCCGTCTTGGGCGCCTCAGGTACCGCCTTGGGGCCCTCGTGGGCCGCCCAGGGCCCTCTTGGAAGCCTCTTCGGCTATCTTGAAGCTGTCTGGGAGGCCTCTTCCTCCTTCTCGTCCCCCTCCTCCTCCTCCTCCCACTCCAGCTCTCTCTCCTCCTGATCTTCCTCCTCCTCATGCAGCGTGTTCCGGAAGGCTCCCGCCGGAACATGCTGTGCACAAATGCTGTCATTGCTCCCGCCACCGTGCCCTGGGTGGTGGGTCAGAGGCCTCATGGGTGTTGGTTTGGATCTCGTGGTTGGCCTGTCGGGGACGTCGTGAAGGCAGTTTCGCAGCTTCTCGGTAGCCGTTTTGGGACCGTTGTGGGGCCTCCTCGGGGCTGTTTCGTGGCCTCTTTAGGCCTCGTTTAGCCCTCCTGGGTGCCTCTTGGGGGCCTCCTGGGACCTCTTGGGGGTTCCTTGGGACCTCCTGGGGCACTCTTCAAGCGGGAGGGTCGAATTTTGGAGTCGTGGTCCCCCTCTTGGGCGCCTCTTGGGGCCGTCTTGGGGCTCTGTTGGGCTGTCTTGGGCGACTCTGGGGCCGTCTTGGGGCCCTCTTGGGCCGTCTTGGGGCGCTCTTGAGGGCCTATTGAGCCGTCTTGGAACGTCGGACAGCCGAAAAGGCTGGAAGGCCAAAATCGTTCGAAAATCTTCGTAAAACTGACGATTTCGGCCTCTTGAAACGCTCTGGAGAGGCGTCTTGAAGCGTCGTGGAGTGCCTTGGGGGGCCTCTCGGGCCGTCTCGGGCCTATCTTAGGCGTCCTGGAGCGGTCTTTCGGCGACTCGGGGCCCGCTTGGGCCGTCTTGGGAGCCTCTGGAGGCCCTCCTGGACTACTCTTGGACCTCCCCGGCCGCCCCGTCCTCCCATGGGG